CACCTACACCTGCACCTTCACCTGCACCTTCACCTGCACCTGCACCTTTACCTGCACCTTCACCTGCACCTGCACCTGCACCTTCACCTTCACCTTCACCTGCACCTTCACCTTCACCTGCACCTTCACCTGCACCTTCACCCGCACCTTCACCTTCACCTGCACCTGCACCTGTTTCTACTTCCTGTTCTCTCAAACCCAGCCGCTCGTCCTGATCCTGGTTCTGTTGGAGGTTTCTTCCTGTTAAAAGGAGTTTTTCTTTCCACTGTCTCCTTTGTGCTTGCTCAGGATGGAGACTAGCTTCAACGTGTCTGCTGCTTCCTTAGATGCAGAACTTCACTAACTGGTTTTTCTATGTCCAGTATGTGAATGTTTCTGTTCAGCACCTGAGTCGACTTCTGTTGTGACTGAGCTGCAGAAACGAACTGAAGTGAATGTTCACGTGAGCCAAAGACCTCAGGGTTCCCCACCAACGCTGTTCGTTCTCCCCCCGTGAAACCAGTAAATCTTTGTTTTTGCCCGTTTGTTCCCCAAAGTGAACGACGCTGCAGCTGCAGAGCGTCGGCGTGAAAAGATCACGTGGTGAAGACGCGTCTCCTCACCGCAGCTTCAGCGTCTCCGGAGGCATCAGCTCCAGCGTGTGCGTCGGCCCGTAAATGTTGACGACGTAGAGCTTCACGGCCGGGTTGGGCTGGCCCGCCTGCAGGAACAACAACACATCCTTACATAAGAGCCCGAACTGGACGCTGCGCGTGAGAGGGAGCCGCTGAAACTTGGAGTGAATTATAGATGGAGAAACCCACCGACAGTCCCTCAACCTGAGAAAAACAGAAACTGAGGAGAACAAGCTCAACGGAACCGTAACGTTCTGCAGGAACTCTCCAACGTTACATCTACTGAATCATGGGACGTGAAGTAAAAACTTGTCGTCAGTTTAATAAACTGTGTTTGTCAAAACGAACAGAAGCCTCAAATTTAAATAAATACAAGTCTAAATGTTGAGCAAGAGATAATATTACTCAAGGTCACGGTACCAAGGGTCAAGGTCACGAGCTTTCAGGAGAAATTTGAATCGCTCAGATTGAATCTGTATTCACGTAATTTGAAATTAAATCCACTGGTTTGAAACTGAATTTAATGGTTTGTATCACCTTTCTGTCTGATCAAGACACTCGAAGCTCTTTACAGCAATCTGCGTCTCATGGTGGAATTGAACCCCCAACTCTTGCACCGGAGGACTAACCACTCTGCGAAACTGCATTTAATTAATTTAATTATTTAATTTCACCGCTTTTTATCGTCTGTCCAAACAGGTCTCACCTGTAAACGAGTCTCTGTTTAAATAAAAGGTCTGAAACAGAATTTTGTTGTTTTCAAAGTTCAGTCGGACTTCTTTCATTTTCAATTCCAAAATTCTTTTGTGTCACACGTCCGAGTCCTTGAGGAAGCCTCGGCGTAATCCAACGCAGATTGACAGATTTCACGTGAGGGAAACTTCTTTTACAGAAATGCAGGCGTTCAGACGCCAGGAGGCGATGATGCAACAGAGCGGATTCAATCTGCCCTAAAACCAAAGAAGAAGAAGAACTTCCTTCACGGTGCATTTTCATCTGGAGCAGTGGTGCACACGCGTTCATGCCAAGTTCACGTGTGCACCGCTGCTCCAGCTCAATTTACACCATACATCTGTTAATCTGCGTGGGATTACTCTGAGGCTTCCTCAAGGACCCGGATGTGTGACACCAAAAACTGAATTCTAGAACTGAAAATGAAAGAAGTCTGATCCATCACTCAGGAACAAGACGTCCAGAAACCTGAACTCCTGAGGTTTTGACCTGGGGGGGGTCACCCATTGTTTGTCAAGAACCCTGACCTCGGACCTCGAGGAGCTGAGAACTCGGCAGCGAACCGCCCCAGAGCACGCTGAAGGTCTCGGCCAGAACAAAACAGAACCACATCATCCACATAAAGCAGAGACGAGACCCTGAGGTTCCCAAACCAGACCCCCTCCACAACTGCACCTTCAGGATCAGAGACCGGGACAGACCTGGTCCAACATGCTCGGAGAACGAGCTCCACTTCGTTTAGTTTCAAACCAGATTTTTGTTTTTCCCTGTTGTGTAAAAATCCAGATGTTCGCAGAGATTACGCCGTCTGAACGGGGCTCACCTTCGGGTACGGGTACTGTTTCCCTCGGGGGTACGTGGCGCCGGTGAAGCGAGGCAGCGCCATGTTGGGCACCAGGGTGTCGTTGAGGACCAGGAAGGCCAACCTCTCCCCGTCAGGAGACCACCAGTGAGCCACGTGGGTCTGCAGGATCTCCTCTGGGGGCACACACACCACAGATAATCTCCACAGAATAACCAACAGAACCTAAAGCTCATCATTTGTTGCTTCATGGTGGAAAACGAAGCCGACTCGTCCTTCGTGAATCCAGCTCTGATTGTGGGTCAAACAGCACTTATTGTTCTATAATTATAATAAGATAATTAACACCAGGAGGGATTAAAAGTCTGATTTAAAGTCAGCCTGGATAACTTTGTTCCTCCAGAGAGATGAGTAATCTGATCAAACTGACAGTTTGTGTTTAAATAAAACAAATAAATCGACTCCTCGCAGCCAGAGGGGAGATCTCTGCAGCACAACAAACATCATGAATATTTTATAACTCTCTTCTGCTCAAATACTCTGATTTATAATCCCCAGCGTCTTCAGCTGCATGACACGAGCGTGCTCAAGACCAGATTAAACCTCAGATTATCCGACGGTAGAGATTCTGGTTTAAAGAGAAACCTTCGTAGAGCCAGTCGGCGATCCCGTTGAAGACGACTCCGTCCTTTCCCGACGACGTCAGCCGGAGGGAGCTGCTCTTCACGTGGGAGCGGTAGTAGATGTTGTTTTCAAAGACGTAGATCTGCGGAGACAAACCACTCGTAATCCACAGCGTGAGCGTGAACGTATTTTCCACCGTACAAGTCGCTTCAGTCCAAATGTCTAAAAAAGTGGAAAAAACAAATAAGTCGCTTCGTTGTGCAAGTCGAATCTTATTACGCGTCACCGCAGACCACCTGGACACGTGGGCCGGTGTGCGCGAGCGTGCACGGGAGGACTTTAATAAGACTTTAACAAGATTAACACTTAAAAACAATTATTTGTTTGCTCAGAATTATAGTAAAGGTGTGTCTCAGTTGAACTTTTCCTTAATAAATGCACTTTAATGGTCAAATCAGCTGCATTTCACCTGGGCAGCGAAACGCAGCTGATTTGATGTTTCCTCCAGGAGGTCTGGAGCGGACCTCCTCCAGGAGGTCTGGAGCGGACCTCCTCCAGGAGGTCTGGAGCGACACGAAGGAGCGCCCCTAGTGGCTGAAAATGGAAGTGTTCATGTTTTTCATGTCAATGAATGAAATCGTCAGATCTCAGCCAAAAATTTTCATAAATATTATAAATTATGTTATAAATATTATAAATTATGTCATAAATATAAATTGTTATAAATATTGTAAATTATGTTATAAATATTATAAATTGTCAGAAATATTATAAATTGTCATAAATGTTATAAATTAGGTTATAAATATGATAAAATATGTTATAAATATGATAAATTATGTTATAAATATTACAAAATATGTTATAAATATTACAAATTATGTTATAAATATTATAAATTATGTTATAAATATAAATTATG